CCCCCGATTAAGTTCCATGTCGCGTGCTTTGAACTATTTTAAAAGAGATGGAGAGTCCAAATTTGAAGCTAAATTCGTTTGTTTCCGTGTTTCGTTGTAGCATTAGGTTAACCATATCCACACTCGCTGGCAGAACTCCTCCCCCAGATTATTCTCTCAGCAAGGGTTGGACACCCCGATGATGGGGTAGAATTGTTACTGCGCCAGGCGGGGATTAACGTTTTAAAAACTCACTAAACCATCCAAAATCATGCGATTGCGACCTAGGGACATACATGCTTACCTCCCCCCCTCCCCTATTTAATAAGACATCCCAGGAAATGTGGAATCAGCAAGTTGACCGCACCCAAAGATTCCAAGAAGCTAATACAAGCGCGCTCACGGACGAGCGGTGATCGCTTCGGAGAATGCCAACTAAGCCTGGGTCCATCTGAACTACCCGTTAGCAAGAACAAATTGGGAGCAGTAAAGTCAAGCTAAGCGAGCCGAACTTAGAGTAACATGTAACGTCGTTCTCCCCAAGGAAAATTCAGAAATTCAATTGACCTGGTTTGATTGGGCCGCATTCCCCAGATGCTGAAGTTCCCGACTCGTCTGTTCTCTGTTAGCTTTCTTGACTGGGATATAACGACAATGCTACCTTGGTGAAATCCCACCTGCTCGCATGGCCGGCTGTCACGGTCGGGGTCATCCCGCCCTGGCAATGGCTTGCATGGTTAATTGGACTTGGGAGCAATATGTAAAGACCCAACCCTCCTCCCTCTCTGCCGCTGTCGGTCCGCTGTGTTCTCCTTTTTCGTTTCTTTCCTGTTTGGCCTCGATCTGATCACCACAACCTGCTTCTCTTTTAAACGTTCTTTTGTTATGAGCTCCGTCCGTTGCGGACATTTGAATGATGGCTTACAGTGCAACTGCAGACGGTCTTGAAGTGGCCAGGGCCGATTCCAAGGAAGTTGCGGTGCCAAAGCAGCAGATGGATGTAAAGGAGCTGGACGACTTCTCTGACAGCGAATACCCCGAACCAACGGAGCATGACCTAGATAACCTCAGGCGCATTCCCGATAGAATCCCATGGATTTGCTTTACTATCGCTTTTGTTGAATTGTGTGAGCGGTTCGCCTACTACGGAACTACGGCCGTCTGTATGTTTTCGAACCCAGCATCCCAGGATTGAGTAATCCCACACAAGACTTGCGGAACTGATCAAATGTTTCTAGTGACCAACTTCATCCAGCAAGATCTTCCACCAGGATCGACTACCGGAAATGATCCTACTCCCAATGGACAACCTGGAGGTGCGCATCGACCGTTCCCTCATTATCTGTGTTGCGTCCTGCGTGAATAGTCTCCTAACTTCACTATCAGCCCTCGGCAAAGGCCAACGAGCCTCACAGGGCCTCGTACTGTGTATGTGACACTTACCTGACTAACAACTCCGGGTTTGAGAGATGGCTCTAATAATACTACAAAATAGTCAATAAAATGTGGTCTTATTTTTCCCCCCTCTTCGGCGGTAGGTATACGGTTCCGTCTTCAAGGAGAAGCTTTCAGTTCTGATGATATCAATCCATTAGGCTACCTTGCGGATTCCAAATGGGGTAAATTCCGAACCATCCAGTATTCAATTGCCCTGGCAATGTTTGGCCATGTCATTATCATTATATCCGCTCTCCCTCCCGTGATTCGACATCCTGAAGGTGCTATGGGATGTCTCGCCATAGGTCTTGTTGTCTTTGGTGCAGGTGTTGGTGGCTTCAAGTAAGATAACGAATTATCAGAATTGGAGATTCTGAGATATGTGACTGATGCTTTCCAGACCCAACATCTCACCCCTTATGGTTGAGCAGCTGAAGCACACGAAGATGCGGGTTATTGAGCGGAACGGCGAACGATTAATTGTTGACCCGTCTCTGACTACGCAGCGTATTTTTATGTACTTCTATCTCTGCATTAACATCGGCTCGATTGTCGGACAGGTTACGATGGTCTACGCCGAACGATACATTGGCTTCTGGCTCTCCTTCACTCTCCCTACAGCTATGTTTTGCATCTGTCCTCTCGTTCTTGGAATTTTCCACAAAAGATACGTTCAATATCCACCGACCGAATCCGTTCTTGGAAACGCAGTCAAGCTTCTCAAGTTTGCCTGCAAGGGGAAGATCTCCTGGAATCCAAGAAAAACGTCAGTGTTGTCGTTCACTTCTGGCAGAAATCAGCAATGACTGACATCCAAAAAGTTTCCGTAACCTGGGATCTCCCTCATTCTGGGATGATGTCAAACCATCCAACGTTGCACACAAGCCTAAGTTCATGACATTCGACGACGCTTGGGTCGACCAAGTTGCAAGAGGAACCAAGGCCTGTTTGGTGTTTGCATACTATCCCCTATTTTGTAAGGCCTCCCGCGAATATATGCCAATTAGGTATCCTTCGATGCTGACTTGAAGTAGGGCTGGCATACAACCAGATTGATGGAAATCTTACGTCTCAAGCCGCAACTATGCAACTTAACGGCGTACCAAACGATCTCATTAACAATTTGAACCCTCTTGGAATTGTTATTATGATTCCAATTTTGGATTTGCTTGTCTATCCTTTCCTACGTTGGCTTAAAATTAGGTTCTCCCCTCTCAGACGTATGACGACTGGTTTCTTCTTTGCTTGCTCTGCTATGATTTGGGCGGCTGTCGTCCAGAGCAACATTTACTCCAAGGGCAAATGCGGCAAATATATGAACAAGTGCAGTCAGCCCGCCCCATTGAATGTGTGGATTCAGTCTGGCGCGGTAAGAACTTCTCTATCAGGCAACGTTTTCTGCATTCGTCGTTTCAATCGCTAATCAAAATAATAGTATGTGCTTGTTGGCCTTGCTGAAATCATGGCCTCGATTACTGGTCTGGAATATTCCTACACCAAAGCACCTGCTAACATGAAGGGTTTGGTTTTCGGTTAGTTTCCTCGTCGTTTGAGCACCCAAAGCCAGCACCGCATGAGAAATGTTTTTTTTATCTCCCATGAAATATACATATGGATTCCTTCGTTATTGCCTACCAGATGCTGACATCCTCCCACGGACAGGTTTCTACCACTTCACCTCCGCCGTGTCCTCTGCTATCGGTCAGGCCTTCGTCTCGCTTTCCGACGATCCACTTCTAGTGTGGAACTACACTGTTGTCGCCATTATCGCTTTCTGCGGAGGTATTCTCTTCTGGTTTACCTTCAGGGGTCTCGATAAGAAGGAAGAACAGATGAACATGATGAAGGAGTCTGAATACCGCGGCCGCATCAGGGACCGGCAAGCCAATAATAAATTGGACGTGGAACTCAAAGAATGAGATGTTACAGCTGGCCTCTTTCTCTCCCTATTTATTTTAATTCTGTGCACATTGCAAACCCGGTCTTCCTTTTTTTCTTTTTTTCCTTTCTTTTTTTTCTCACGAAAAGGTGACTGATGCTGTAAGCGTGCTTTGTAGGAAGATACCAACCTCTTGTTCTACCTGCATTAGCATCACCAATACATGTGTGAATCATATTATTGATGATATTAACGCCCATTATCAGCCTTTCAAAAACAAATAAGCGAATGAACAACTCTACAACGTTCCCAAATGAGTTCTTTTAATGTTTCATTTTCGTTACAGAACCAGATATCTCACCTGTTAACCTCATATCAGGCCGCTTTCAAATTCTTAACTCTATGTCATTATTCCATCCCACCCCATCATATGATTGGTGTGTTTCGTATTCTTGCCAATATAATTGTAATATACCGAGGGTTTCGAAGCTTTGTGTCAATGAAACGTCTGAATGACGCATCATATATCCCCCTCCCCATATTTCTGAAATGTCGTTGCATTTGCGATTGCACATGTGGGTTATCGTAGCTAATGAGCTTTGACATTTTGATTATCTTCATTTTTTTTTTATGGATATGATACCTACCCTATCCTAGGTACCTAGGTACTTACTTGGTTATGAAAAGTATTGTCCATTGAAGTAGAATAAGCATGCAGCGCTTGCTTCAATCGCTCTTCATGCTTGAAATGCGCACTGCTTGGTACTTAGACATACAGCAAATACTTCTTCATGAATTTAGTTTTTATGGATGATATATTTCCATCTCGTAGTTCCAACCTGTCTTAACGCCAATCATTCAAAGACAGCATAGAGCAGTGCGGGGAACTTTTCTGAGAAGAAGCACACCAGAGTCAATGTCAATGATGACAACAGAGAAGTCAAAAGGCCCTCTTCGGTGTTTTAAGCTGTCGCGCTCTGATTATTGATATACATTTGAAGTCCATGGATAAATCTATTACCACTTGTCAGCGCCGGCTTTCCAGTCCTCGCAAAGGAACTACATGTGATAATAAAATGGTCTCTTAGAGGGGCCGCCTATGAAGCCTCGCGGCTCGAGGTGCGTCGCATATCACTATAGCCATAGTTAATATGCAACCCCGAAATCATATATCGAGTTGTGGCAAGACAAGACTTTGCTTCCGTAAATGGTAGGTATATGTATATCGAACTCAACTAGACCGTTGTTAAGGGATATATTAGTGTCTACAGTTTGTTGCTTAGGAATCCGGCGGCCCGTCACGAATCCTATACGGAGGGTAGATAAGTTTGCTGTTTGGTAGTCCGTGGTTATCTGCTGTCTTTACATTGGCCTCGATCTGTTTGAATGTGGGCAAAGGCCCTGCAATGGGTGGGGGGTTCAGCTGCACATAAGGCGAGTGAACTGACGATATGACTGATTGCATTAATACGTTTGTTAAGTGCATCGACGGATATATCTCGAGTTAGAAATTAACTAACTAGCTATCAGCACGCCATTGGCTGGACTGACCCTCCCACCGCTTGCTGATGAGCAAGGATAACTAGTTAATCATCAACTCCTCCCACTCGAGTGCAACAGAGCAAAGATGCCGGCTCCATGCCCAAGGCTGCTTGAGGACACTTGAGAACATTTTCCTCCGGGGTGATATATGCTGCAATCAATCATGTCCTCGCAACCAACCTCCGTAGGTCATCACCCAGAGATCACCCATACACCGTCTGGAATAACTCAGCCGGAGGTGTTGCAACATCCTGCATATGATAAGAGGTGTGGACACCTTGATTTTAAGCAGAGCGGATTTGACACAGATGCAGAAGTTGCAGGTATGTTGTGCTGTGCTGTGCCGTGCTGTGCCGTGCTGTGCCTCATGGTGTATATATACATTTTTACAGAGTTATTTGCTGACTACGGCAGATGATGGACGGGTCAACATCAACATCAAGGAGCACGGTCGAAGGTTGTCACAGTTATTAAATCCAGTTTTTGTGGCACAGAGCAGCCATACTCACCATGTACAGACCTCTCTAGCTAGAATAGATCAGGGACTTCCTGTGCCACGTCTCAACATCGTTATCCAAATTGTTGGGTCTCGAGGAGACGTACAGCCATTTGTTGCCCTTGGACGAGAGTTAAAGCATATCTACGGTCATCGTGTCCGACTAGCGACCCATCCTAATTTTAGAGAATTTGTACAGGAACACGACCTGGAATTTTTTAGTATAGGAGGTGACCCCGTTGAACTCATGGCGTTCATGGTGAAAAACCCAGGCTTGATGCCCGGTTTCGATGCGATGCGCAACGGCGACATCGGCAAGCGTCGAAAGGAAATCGCCGAAATAATTTCGGGTTGTTGGAGGTCGTGCTTCGAGGCTGGAGATGGTACTGGTGTCCCCGTCACTGATGCTAATTTCGATGCCACTCAAATTGAAGGTGAAAAGCCTTTTGTTGCCCATGCGATCATTGCGAATCCGCCTAGCTTCGCCCACATCCATTGTGCCGAGAAGTTAGGAATTCCATTGCACCTCATGTTCACGTACGTTATGCATAACCACCTGTGCGAATTTGCCAGCGACAATAGCTGATATATTTAACTCTTTAGCATGCCGTGGTCTCCAACCCAAGCGTTCCACCACCCCTTGGCCAACATCCAATTTTCAAACGCCGAAGTGGGAGTCGCCAACTTTGTATCCTATGCTCTCGTGGAGTTGATGGCATGGCAAGGATTAGGTGATGTCATCAATCGATTTAGGGAGCGTTCCCTTGGTTTAGAGCCAATGGGCATCATGTCGGCTCCTGGTGTACTTCCGCGACTGCGTATCCCTTATACATTTTGCTGGTATGCAAACGAACAATTTATACGTTGTGTCATACTTCAGCTTTCTGTCTAATTTCCAACTAGGTCACCAGCTTTGATCCCCAAACCTAAAGACTGGGGTCCTCATATTGATGTATCGGGGTTCTTTTCCCTCCCTTTGGCTTCAACGTATACCCCACCCAATGATTTAGCCAAGTTCCTCGAAGCTGGTCCTCCTCCAGTCTATATTGGGTTTGGCTCCATCGTTCTTGAGAATCCCAATGCAATGACTGAACTCATCTTCGACGCTGTTAAACTAACTGGGCAGAGAGCATTGGTTTCCAAAGGGTGGGGAGGTTTCGATGCAGAAGAATTTAGAATCCCCGAAGGCATTTTCATGATAGGAAACTGTCCGCATGACTGGCTCTTCAAACGGGTAAATTGTGTTGTTCATCATGGCGGCGCCGGAACCACCGCTGCAGGTATTTACTTGGGGAAACCAACCGTTGTGGTTCCTTTCTTTGGTGATCAACCGTTCTGGGGTTCGATGGTCGCAAACGCTGGAGCGGGTCCTAAACCAATTCCCCATAAAGAACTAACAGCAGCTAATCTTGCTGCTGCTATTATTGCCGCACTTGAACCCGGCGCCAAATGCCAAGCGGAAGAGCTTGGGACAAGAATTAGGCACGAAAACGGCGTAGCTGAAGGGACCAAATCATTCCATAAACAACTTCATATCAACTCATTACGTTGTATGCTTATTCCTAGTAGGCCTGCAGAATGGTTTGTTAAACATACAAACATTCGCCTGAGCTCGTTGGCAGTAACAACCCTTGCGAACGAGGGAATTTTGGATCTTAGCGACCTCAAATTGTAAGCAATCTGACCATGTCGTAATTTGACACTCAATCATTAACTGACAAAAACGGGGATAGATACCGGCCCCGGGAGTATGATACAGAACCTGGACCCCGAGACCCAATAACTGGAGGAGCTACTGCCTTGATAGAGACCCTTGGAGATTTTACAGTGGGTTTTGCTGATATTCCAGCTGAAATTTTGAAGGCTATGACAGGACCCCGTGCGAAGGGGAAGTCAAAATCAGGATCAACCTCGCCTAAAATAGCTGCTCAAAGGTTCTCTACGAATGCAACCTCTCCTTTAGTTGAAGCCTCCGCAACTACTCTTTCAACAGCCGAAACTGCCTCTGACTCTGGAACTGTTGTAGCTGTCGGAGAAGAGAGCCCAGAGAATGGAAACGGACTGACATCGAATTCTGCTTGCCCAGAGCGTGAGACCAGGTACGTATAACAGCAAAAACGGCGGATATAATTGCCCTTCAAATGCTAATTTAAACCCTCCATGAAACTCAAGTATCGGCGAAGCCAAAACCCCTGAATGCCATAATATTCCAACAGCTGATATCATAAGCGCGGGGCACGCCGCAACGAAATTTATCAATCTGGGCCTCAAGTCTCCAATGAACTTCACTCTAGGGGTATCAAAGGGATTCCACAACGCCCCCAAGCTGTATGGAGACAAGACCGTGAGAGAACCTCCAAAGGTTACAGGCTTCCATAGTGGCATTAGAGCTGCTGGAAAGGTTCTGAACTAATTGACTACCCTGTTTGGAGCTATAATATGTACGCTGACTACGGAATAGGAGCTTGGCTATGGATTATACGACGGAATTACGGGCTTGGTTACCCAACCCCTTGCTGGACGAAAGGATGGAGTTGGCGGTGTCATGAAAGGTTTTGGAAAGGGCATCGGTGGCCTGATTCTCAAGCCCGGAGCAGGTAGCTATAGTTTCCTTGAATTTCTTGACGGCTGCGATTCTGATAGTTCCTCCGTAGGGTTTTTTGCTGTGACCGGCTATACCATGAGCGGTGTTTACAAAGAAATCCAAAAGCGTTTGGGGACAAGCGTCGAAAATTATATCATTGCGTCCCGAAGCATATAGGGATACGAAGAATGGAGAAGGTCTACCAAGGTTGAACGCGAAACGGTTATCCAATCATGGTATTCGCTCAGCAACAACCCAGCTGTGAAAGGAAGAAAGTCGACATTCTCATCCGAGTCAGAGACATCATCACGTAGAATTTTTGATCCCACGCAACTGCCACTACATACTTGTGAGGCCACCAGAGACACCACTTCATCTGGAGATGGAAACCTTCCTTCCGAAGGATTGTTCCAGAGATTCCGTTCGACCAGGCAGAAAAAAAGACATTCAATCCATCAAACTATCTACCGCCCGCACCGTGACCTCAGCCCCTCAGCTTCTGGCGAAATCGAACAGGCAATCCTCGACTCCGTTGAGCAGTCATCTACAGGAAACTCGGAAGAAGATATGATGATCGAGCGTGCCATCCGAGCCAGTATTGCTGAGCTGCAAGCGGCAGAAGCAGATGAGAAAGACGAGCAGGAGGCCTACGCTCGGGCCATCAGCGCGAGCATCGAGGAGGCAAGCCGAGTGCGGCAGGATCAAGCGCATGTAAATGATCTGCGTGATACGCGACATGGCGTAACAAACCTTGAGGGTTCGTCCACGGCGGATCCCAGCAGGCATGACGCATATTGCGATGAAGGTAGTGATCTTGAACGTACACTTGCTGAATCTATTTGAAGCCCCGCTGCTGAAGGGGAGCAGCGGAGTAAAGAAGCGCTTGAGGTCCCTGCCGAGCAGGGAGTATGGATAAGTTCAAAAGGAAGCCTCTAGGTCGAAACAATTGCTGGAGCATCAACCAAGCCAGCAATCCAGTTCTGAGGAGTCACGCAGAGCGATTGCGGAAAGCTTGAATATGGATACGGGGGCCAATGATATAAATGATTTTATTCTTGCTATTCAATTGCTTTTTATATTTTCTTTTTTACAATTTACTTCTACTTGATGTTGTTGAGCTAACTGTTTGGCTGGATACCCCTAGCACGAGTTTTCTTTTTCTTTTTCTTTTTCTTTTCTTTTCTTTTTTTTTTTTTTTCTCTGAGAAACTATTTCATGTCTCGTTATCATCTGCATATTTCCTTATTCTATATACACGCGACACACTGACGTCATTTCCTATGCTGAGCGTGGTGGATAGCAATCTGGTTGGTCATGATCCGGCACATGTATAGACAAGGCAATGAGCCTAGATTATGGAGTGCAGCTAGGCTTGTAGGTTATTTCCGGACCTGAAGCGATCTTAGATCTGATTGAATATAAACAGCCGCGCAGTGTATCTCACTCTGCATGTGTTGGCGTTTGTGTGTCGACGGCTCTGGTCTAATGTCTTTCTATTGATATCCATCTGTTCATATGCGGAGTCACGATGGACAAAAATCCAGAATAGGAGCAAGCACTCCCTCCTCTTTGCGTTATTGTATGCATATCTATTTTGCTTTGGATGCGGTGTGCACGAAGCTCATATGCCCCTGAACCGCATGTCCTGGGCGGCGATTCCATATCACGGGACGGGGGAGGCCATTCATTCATCCCCTGCGTTTCGCCTGCCTCAAACGGGTGACACGCCTTCCGCACCGGATATGGGTGCGGCTGACACCAGCGACGGTGACATCCATCGACAGCGATGTCAGTCTCAATTCCCCGTCTCAAGTTCTGTGCCTTTCACCCTCTCTTCTTCTTTTCCCCGTGGCATAATTTTTCCATCCATCCCTAGTCTTCGTTTGTTCTGTACCAGCTTTCTTCTCTACACGACAGAGTTTGAATCCAACTCCGGGGGCAAGAAGGCAAATGTCACCTCAACTCAGGATGCGACCAGACACGTCCTTGGCCAGCCTTACCAGTGCTGCCATCATCGCATCTCTCGCGATTTCAGGACTCGTTAGCAGCGTTAGTGGAGTCTGGACGTGCCCCAGCGAGCGAGAGCCCTTCTGCTGTGCTATGCACTCGAGGGTCAATGATACGTCAGATGCGTTTGTTGGGACGGGGTGTAAGTGTTTTGTATCTCCGGTTTTCTGCGGATCAGTTTCTATATTGGTGATGGTGTTTACCTGTGACCCTTCACTCTGGAGAGGATTTTTACCTGCTCCTGGTTAGTTTGGCTGACCAATGTGGATCTGGAAATAATCAAACAGGCGTTGATGCACCCAGAAACGATAACTGCACTAATGGGATTCCTGTTGAATGTTGTAAGCCGTTGGTATGTATCAATGGGGTGTTGTGCTCTCCTTTTTTTTTTTTATCTCAATTACCATTTCCTCCTTATTCGTGTTCAGGTTTCTCACGAGCATACTTGCTTTTTTTTATTACATAGACACCAGAATCACCAAAGTATTCCTGCTCAGCATCAAATGCAAATGAGAGGTTTTATTGCGATAGCAAGGCCATCGGATACGCTACTTGATGGCGGGTATTAATACGGGAGAGGAAGGGAGCAAGCTTCCGTATTTCAATATTGATTGACAATCGAAAATGTGGGAAAGTTATAGAACAAACGGCTGAAAGAATCTTCTCGGGGATATTGATCCATGTTATATATACATCTACATATATTATATCTTTTATGTGAACTGTGTGATGTTGTTGGTTGAGAGAGGGTTCAAGAGCAGGGAAATTTGCCCAAATTGATTATTTTCTTATGATTTCGGAGTTTTCGGGATGGTCAGTTGTATCTACAGTTGCTAGCTCGACAGTGATAAAAATTGCAGGGTGGTTAGCAGGCGTCGTCAACATTTGTGTAATGCTTATGGCACCCAGAGATTTGATATCATGTAATGCTTCTGAAACATGAAATGGGTGAGCTAGATAGGTGGTTTCTTTTCTATAACTAACTAGAGCAAAGGCTGAAGGCAGGTATCTTTAGGCGACACGGCAAACGGGGAGCTAGGCGAATAGGAATGGTTGTTTTTCTGTACCTTTATGAAACGGATAATATGGGGAATTGATGTGTGGAGATCGACCTCGTAACTATTGCTCTATGACGATCGTATATATATATATATATATTTATCTCCGAAAAGTGTGGATGGAATATCTTGCCCCTGAAAATACATTAAGAAAGCATTTCTCACTCGCGCTCAACATCCCCACAATTCCTCCGCATTGCGTCGAAATAACCTATCCGCCATGTCAGCATCCCCTTCCGCGCACCACCCCAAGCAAGCCTTCACAAAGGGCGTTATATCCATCCCATCAAACTGCGTATGCGGCCAGTCGGTCGCAAAGACCAGTCTCTCCTTACCCGCTTGCATCATCTCACGCATCAGAACGCCCAGTTGCTTGAACTCAGGATCGTCGCTTAGTCTATACGGCGCGGAAATCTTGACATATGTATTTCCCTGCTCCAGAAGGGAGACTAGCTCTGTAAACCCAGGTAATGCGTATGGGTTCAATGGCAATAACGACGATGACGGCAACGTCGGCTTCGCAAAATGATCCAGACATACCTTCACGCCCAGCTCAGGAATGATTTGCAAGACATCTAGCAATGCCTGCATGGGCAGGTAGAGTTGCAGAACCCACCCATACGGGCGTATGACATCAGCATACTGACGGAGAGTGCGTTGGAGCTCGTCCTTGTCTAGCTTCTGGGGCACGGAGACAAAATTCAACCTCACGCCCCTGACACCGAGCCGGTGCCAGTTCGCTAACGTGCAGTCATCGTCATTATGACCGTCTGCAGTAATGGCAGCTGCGTCGAAACAAACAACACCTCGGGCGCGTGTAGGGCCTAGCTGCTTCAGCCCATCAAGCAAGAGTGCATTATCATAGCCATAGATGGAAGGCTGGACGAGGACGAGGTTGCGTATTCCTAGAGTTGATTCGAAAGCGAGAGCTTGGTTGAGAGTATGCGTGCTGGGGATGTAAGCGGCATTTTGGGAGAGCGGGTAGCGGACGGGGTCTACGATGTGCATGTGGCTGTCCCAGGAGTTTGAGGGGAGCGTTTGGGGTAGGGATGGGAGAGTTGATTGGGATCTTCGGCTCCTCAAGGGAATTGTGGATGGGTTGGCCATGGTGGTGATCCTCCTGCAAGGATGCTTCTTCGTCCATGTTTTTGAGAAGATCTGTCTAGAGAAGGGGATATACATTGTTAAACAGTGGGGGAAAGGTTTAGTTAGCTTTTACCTTTTTTTTCAAGTGTCGTGTAAGAGCTGCTTATTTTTAGCATAATTCCCCAACTGAGTGAGTGAGCTATGAATTCAAAATATTCTCAATTGCCTAACTCATTCACCTCAATGCACAATGAGGCCATTCAATCCACATAAAAAGACAAGAAACTCCATAGAAATAGAGGTGGAGAATTGAACTTATAAAGTTCACTCTTAAGAAGGAAGAAATATCTTTAATTCCTGAAGCTATAATCAGTTTGAAGTGTCATACTTTTTCGCTTAACATTAACTGGTTAATGTAATTCCCAGCTGAGTCCAATTGAGTCAGACTCAAATTGAAACTTGTATCTAATTTATCAACCAACCTACTTCGACGCGTCAAAATGCCACCAATTCGCAATAGAACAAAAGAAACTCTATAGATATTTATGCAAAGTAGGCATATATTGCGTCCGTCTTGGAAACTAGGGAGGAAATGTGGGTAATATCCAGGGCATCCTTTTACATTAAACTGCCCAGTTTCAAACCTGGTCAGAAGAACACCAATATTGTTTGTAAAAGTGTCATACACATGCTTTTTAATGTTAAGTACAGAGTACCTAGATCCCAATATATAGAGCTGATTAGTTGTGGTCGCAAGTGAAGGGAATAATTTTAACTAATACCCAAGTTTCCCAAAACCCCAATTGAGCGTATAAATCAGACGGGGTTAAAAAACACCACAACCTTGGAAGAAAAGAGAAAGACAGATCTCTCGAATCAATTCTCACAGCAAAAGAGAAAGATATGAAAATAATAGAAATAAATAAGGTGTAGTGAGGGAAAAGCGATGTGTATGATTATGTATAATATTTCTAAAGTCACGTGCCATATTCATCTCCAGGATATATCATTCGCCATTATTCCAATCTGTCTCGAACACCCCAATCATATTTGGTGACAAAGGCTCTATATACGAGAACGCCTCAAATAGCTCAGGTGCAATGGCGTGTACGCTTTCCTGCTTCAAGGTAGATGGAATAGCCAGCAATGGGTCTGGGGCGATGTCTGTTTGGTTTTGGTCGTGGTTTGTGCCGTGGTGGTCTGCCAGGGGCGGGGGAGTTATACTGAAAGCACCATGTGGTGGGACGGTGTAGGAAGAATGAGGAGTTTGTATTTGATAACCCTGGGAGGGACTGGGTTCTTCAGCGAAAGAGACAGGTTGGTGGCTGTGGTTTGACGCATTGAGGACGTCGATGCCTAGCTTCTTAAGTTCCTGATCGATTAAGCTGAGCGCGGTTTTGATCACTGGCTATTTTTTAGTTGATTTGAACGTGGTTTGCAGGGAAAGGGGACACTGGAAAGCTTAGAATTACCGGGATTAGCGGACGTAACGCGATCTAGGGTAACCATGCAGAATCTTAATTTAGCCAACGTTGAGGGACATGCGTATCTCAACGCCTGCAATTCAAGCAGGAATATTGAAGCGGCAGTGTAGATACTGTAAGCTATGGACAAGACAACATGTCCATCTCCGAAAGTACGCCGATAAAGGTCGAAAAGCGTTATTATTGAAGTTGCAGACGATATGCATTGGACCAGTGGTTTCGCGTTGTCGGTTACCTGTGATGATACCCTGAAAGGCCTCGAACAGAGCGTTGGTCTGTGTAGCAGGATGTTCGTGGTGTGATATAGGCAACTGGAAGCACGGTGGTACGTCAGTAAGGAAAGCAAGCAAGACCATGCGTGTTGAGTGTAAGAAACATACTTTAATGTGACGATGTGACTTGGGGGGGAGTATGGTGGCAGATCGTCGACGATGAGTTTCAAAAACACCGGAAGCTCACCCCACCATTTTTCAAGATTGCTGCTCTGCTGTTGGACGCATCTTAGAAACTCGGCTTCTGTGCTTTTACGGATTGGGTCGTAGATGTGAATTATTATTTGGTTGAGGATTTCCGCTAACGAGCACACCTTCATAAAGCACGAAGTGGCATGGGCTTGTGCAGGGGGATAATGTGTGCCTTCCGGGAAAACAACACCATGCGGTGTCCATATCTCTAATTCGGCCGTGTCATCCACTACAAATATTTCGATTGGAGTTAGCTCATTTCGATCCTGGAAGAATCGTTGGAAAACGCGTAAAAAATCACATAAGATTTGAAACGGCGGGTAGAGGGGGGGGGGGGGGGGGGGGGTTCACCGACATAATATCTGCGGCGGACTGACAGGCGTATCCTGTATTATAGGAGATCTGCCGAAGTAAAGAGACACCAACTTATCCCAAAAGTAACATGTCCAAAACAGACGGTTGCGAATTTCAATATCCTCGTCCGAAAACTCGACTGAGCCGGAATACTTTCTGCTGTCGATGGTGATGCCTAGGTCCTCCACCAATCTGAATGCCATCCCGCTGAACAGCCACGCCTGCGTCCTGTTTCCACGACCACATTCTTGGGCGCTCAATATGAGCAGCGACTGCACGATGGTAATGTGGCCATTACCAGCCTTTAGGCTATCGAATAGACTAGAACAGGCACGATGGGAAAATGCACTTTCCCCGCCATAGGACTTGATTTGATGGGCGATTTTCGGCTCATCCTTACACCATCTCGCAGAATGGGATAGAATTGCATTTAGCAGGATCTCGGAATAGTAAGGGCCATTCAGTTTCATGTCACCTAAGTTTAAAAATAAAAATAAGAACATTAGAAAATCGTTCGAGTCGGTGAAAAGGCATCCGTCAGAAGAACGCAAGAAACACCACAAGATTCATTGAGCTATTGACTGACGAGTGAAAGCCGGTCGATAAACAAAGTTGAATAGAGGATGTATCCAGCACCAGTGTGAATCGAGCAGGTATTGAAATGGATCCTGTACTAAGCTCAGTAAATCTTCCTCAATTTGGTCCTCCTCTCAAGCAGCGGCTGCTCTACTTTGGTCCTGTCTTACCGGTATGGTCGCGAGCTGCTCAAACGCCCTCTCCCTCCACGCGTTGTTAATAAGCCGTTCCTTGCGGCCATCGAGTTCTTGGGATTCCGGCAATGGACCCAGACTCTCATGGGCAAGGCCGCTCGGTAACTGAAATAGGCTGGTAGGACCGTAAAGCGAGATGCGCCCATCATCTCCCACTTTCAAACCTTCAATGTCTCTGGTAAGATCCGATGCCGTACGGTCATCTTCAGCACTATGCGAGTCGCTGGACACTGCGGTTCTCGATGCATTCATCCCCGAGTCTTCGACATCATGCTGTCGTTGCTGCTGCTGTTTAAGGGGCTTCAGATCCACATCTCCACCGTTTCTCCCGCTCTGAACTCTCGTTAAAGCCTCCTCGAGCTCAGCGATGCGAGACTCGAGGGCTTTTGTGTAGGACAAGGTTGGTGTTCTGGCCAATTAGCAAAGGTAGCCGAGGAGTTTTAAAGGGGAGAAAAGCCCGAACCCGACCCCTGAAAAAGAACTTGGAACTATTAAATTTTGCTTTATGTTACACTCACAGACTATATATACAGTTATCACCACGCGCGGCACAGCGGGCGCATGGGGTTGTTCCGTTGCATTTGACCTATTGATTGTCATTTAAAGGTCCAAAAAATTTCATAGCGGAAAAGATCAACCACCAAAATCGACAGCTACAACCCGGAGAAGAAAAAAATTAAATAAAAAATTAAAAAATAAATAAATAAATAAATAATAAATAATACTTTAAAAAAAAAAGGGAGGAAAGAAAGATAAAAGTCCCTTGGAGCAAAAACACGTTTTTGACCATCAGGGTTGTCACAAGCCCGACAAGGCATAATAAACATCGACCTGCGTTGATACCAACGAAAACCGACCAGAAATAGTGAGAGATAAGAAGTGAAACTTAGCTACATACCTTGCGTTTGCGGCAAGCCTCGCAAGAGAATGCACTTTTCCTGGCCACCGCAGGTTTTGAAGCGCTCTCAGACATTGCGTCAGAAGGGGGCCGGCTGTGGGGAGGAGATGATCTCTCAAGCAATAAGAGGGACAACAGGAGGGCACAAAGGGAAGTGCCCGGGAGTGACCATGTCGAAAGTGTGTTGGCTGATGATGAGTCTGGGATTCATTAGAAGAGTGGAGAGTGGAGACCTGGAGGTGTTTGCCATCGGCGGGCCGAATTGGCGAGAAGGCAACTCTAATAACCGGCGACTAATGATGGAGCGAGGGGCAGGTTGCTGCAAGAAACTATGCTGATTGTGATTAGGAACGTGAACCGAACCACTCAACGCACGTCTCTAGTCTAACGGGCGGGATCACAATGATTTACCGTGCATGAATTTTAATATGGGATGGGCGGTTGTTTCTCCTGAACGAGGATGAGAATGCTTTTACTCACTGGTTTGCTCATTAGAATTCGTTCAACCAGATTCTGTCAGAATCAAGTGGTAGGATTTGACCTTGTAAGTAGGATCAAATCTGACTGTAGCTTCTATAGAGGAAAACAAAAAAAAAAAAATCAAGACACTTATTGTACATTTTTTCTAAATTACTAGCAATCAGTAATAATTCACTTCGGCTATATCAACATTTGAATCAGAATCATTTCCACAGCTGCAAGTCTGAATAATCTGAAATGATTAATGATTTCTAGTTGCATAAAACATTAATACAAACTTTAATTAAATTTAAAGTTATCTTATCAATTAAAAAATAAAAATAATTATTGATTTATTCAAGTGAAATTAAAAACTTTACTCAATGAAATATTGACAATATATAAAACTTTTATAGAAAAATCTTTCAAATATAAGATAAAAATAAAAATACATATTATTAATCTCAGTTTTAATTTTTTTTTTAAAGTTAATTTAATTTTAGTAAAAAATATAAAAAGAATTTTGTTAAACTATTTTATATTTATAATATAATTTTATTATTAATATAAAAATTTAATTAAATAAAATATATTAAAGTCATTATATATATTAAAATAAAATAAATAAATAAATAAATAATACAGCTATTAAAATTTTCAATAATTAATATTTATAATAACTGTGCTATTGAATACAACCTTAGTGCTTTTTTATAGAATAACATAGACAAATTCATTAGAAAAAAGAAAAGAAAAATGAAAACTAGTAAAATGAGTGAAAAGTTTTATAAGAGTCAGAAAAGGACTTAGTTACCTAGGTCTCTTGTCAATGTCTAATGACCTATGACGTGCTTATCTGAGTAAGATTTTTGAATAGTTATCACTCAGATATTAGCCAATTATAAAATTTCATTTAAAAATCAAATAGTACTAAGTTTTTAACTCAATTTATTAAATATATTTAAATTATAAATCTATTTAATAAATAAAACATATTAAAATTATTATTGTTATATATATATATATATATTTATTTATAATAATATTAATTATTATTATACAAATATTATAATATAATAACATATTTATATTTAGTATAAATAAAAAATAAAAAATAACTGGTTATTTAAATTTATATTATAAATCTTTAAAATAAATTAATAAGAATATAAAGTGTATTATTAATAAAAACTTTAAAGAGATTTTAATAAATCTATTTTATTTAAATATATCTAAAATAAAAGCAGTAAAAATTTAAAACTATTAAATAAACTATTTATAGTTTAAATTTATAATCTTTAAGAATTTAAAGTAACTGCAAAAATCTTGAAAATTAAATTGCTCGGAATACACTCAAAAGCATGAGTAGTACAAGGGTAAAATCACGTTCGCTAAGTGGTCAACTTATGTTAATAGTTAGTTCTGTAATGGTCAGAGCTCGTCGATGTTTCGGCTCTAGCTACCTTGTAGCATGTGTAGGTGTGGCATGGGTACTGTTCGTTTCTCTTCAAGCCGGCCAACTATGGGAGCAGGCTACAAGTGTTTTGGGCCTTGAGCAGTTCAGGATCGTATCTCATCTCGAAAACCCTTATTCTCGGGAAGTTGATCCTTGGGGTTTTAAGCAAGTTATTTAATTTTCTATTTTTCTGTTTGTATATTTGCTGTCCTGTCTATTTTCCGTATTCGGGACATAGCCCGTCGGTTCGGCAGAACACAACAACTATTAACTGGTTTGTTTACCTTATCGAACCTGGAATCAATAGTTAGTTAGCTAACCCCGAAGACTCGGCACTTCGGATGACCGAATGAAGAGGTTCGGATGTCTCGACCCGAGCCTACAGGTCAAAGTCAACAACATCAAGCAGCTTCATACCAAATTGATAACAAATAATTACACACGTATATTTGTCAATCAGTTTTCCAATCAATACGATACATGCTTAGTCATCGAATTAATTAGTTAGGCCAGCTCAGAGCCGAGGTCGGATCATCTGCGTGCTGGAGGTTTGGAGGTTTGGAGGTTTGCGGTCGGGGGAAGAAAGGAATGACAGGGAGACTCGGAATCCGGTGCCTCCCGTGATATCACCAGAGGATGTACGTACGGTGGGTAGTGCTGGCTAATAAACCTCCCCTAATTTTATTATTCGGTGTAACAGGTTATTTACTATGGTTCCAAGGTTCAGTGCGATTTACCCAATTGCATGCCCTGGTGTATCTTACTTATTCTTGTCAACCGGGAGGCAGGTGTTGAGATGGACAATTTTCGTTGAGGACGGATAGCGGGGAGTAGTTTTGCCGATATAGCATCGGTATTTATATCATACAAGTTTCTATGGTTATTAGAACTACAGTCTACATCCAGGGGAGAAAAACTGGAGAGCACTCAAAGGACAAAAGCATGTTGGTCCACGCCTGAAACAGCTCCTATTTCTATCCTCATTCCTGGAGATGCATGCCACCCGGCGCCCCGCTGCACATCCGTCTCAGTGGAACCGCGTCTCTAAGCGCAGAAGCCAATTATAAACGTCATCTACCCTCATTTTCATCTTCACTGTCGCCACATTCCTATGGTCCCCGTTGTTCGAATCTGGAGGGTTAGTTACGTCCCAGCACGGGGTGTTATCAAGAAGGCTATTTGCTGTTCGTCCCTCGCTGTTCCCAAGCCCAACCACCGTCAGACCGGTTAAGTCAATATCAATGCTTCCATCACCGAGGTTCTTCTCTCCCAGCACGAAGATAAGATTATACTTCATCTTCTTTGCCTCTCGAATCTTCTTCCCCAGAGATCGAGCCGATGTGTCAACGTCGATACGAAACGTTGTCTGTGCAGGTGATATCGGTTTCAATGGCTGTGCTGTTGAGTTGGAGTTCGAGTTTAGCTCTCCATTCCGGTGGACTGGGTAGCCGGACATCTTGGTTGCTGCGTCCTCTGCGGCTTGGAGAAGCTTTTCATCCTGTGACACAGTTAGGATGATTCCTTGGCGAGGCGAGAGCCAGAATGGCCATCTACCATTATAATTTTCAATTAAAAGGGCAAAGAATCTCTCAAGCGAGCCAAAAATCGCCCGGTGGATCAGGACAGGCATTGCCTTTCCCGGAGTAGCGGGGTTGTAGTCCTCCTCGCCCTCCGCAACGGCGTATCCCAGTTCAAACCTCTGTGGCAGGTTCATATCCAGCTGGATGGTGGAGAGTTGGTGGAACTTGCCATCCGAATCTTGAACCTGCATATCGATCTTGGGTCCGTAAAAAGCACCATCCCCCTCATTCAACTCCCATGATCGGCCATTTTTCTCCAGCGCATCCCGCAGCTGCCGCTCCGCACTATCCCAGAGCTCAATGCTGCCAATGAAATCCCTTTCCGGCCGCGTAGAAAGGACGAGTCTGTATTTATTAAATCCAAAGGTATTCATAACAGTATCTGTAAATCTTAAAGCTGATTCGATCTCACTGCCAATCTGCTGCGGGCGGCAGAAAATATGGCCGTCATCTTGATGGAACCGGCGGACACGGGTAAGGCCACTGAGCGATCCGGATATCTCGTTGCGGTGGAGAGGGCTAAAATCGGCATACCGGAGCGGCAGCTCGCGATAAGAGTGATTCTGTGACTTGAAGAGCAGGCAGTGCCCGGGACAATTCATGGGCTTAAGACCGTACGACTCGTCCTCGCCAATCTCACCCTTCGCCGTCTCACCGGAGGCTCCTCTCCCGCGGACCTCGTACATGTCATCCTTGTAGTTTTGCCAGTGGCCCGAAACCTCCCATAACGACTTTTTGTAGATACTTGGAGTCAGGACCTCGCGGAACCCGTACTGTGCATACTGTGCTCGCAGGAAGGACGTGAGTTTGTTGAGGATATGTGTGCCGTTTGGGAGGAATAGAGGCGATCCAGGACTGTAAACGGATGTAGTGAAGAGATCTTGCGCCGTTCCGACCACTCTGTGGTCTGCTGGAGGAAGAGTTGGGGTCTGTGGAGAGGAAGCATCATGGTGAGGTGTATCATCATTGGTGGTGGAGAATGCGGCCTGAGACGCCGTACATGAGCAGCTTCTCACAGCGAATTTTGCGGGATGATGGAGTTTGTGTCTCCACTGAGGAGATATATTAGCCGTGGACCAGATGGGAAGACAGCGCCATCGCCCTGTGTGGATGCTGGGCCGCCGCATGTGTGTTGGTTGGCTGGGGATGAACAATTCGTTTGATGGTTAGGATTATTTTCTTAATTAATTTTTCTATTTTTATTTTCTTTATTAACTAGTTAACTTAAAACGCTTAAAACGCGACATCGCGTTGTTCTCCCCACTCTCAACCTTCATCAACTAATTACTGAAGTCGAACAGCGTGCCATTCTACCTGCATAAATGAACAACACAAAAGATGCTTGTTCATGACCCATTTTTAATCTAAATCATATGTGGTTGATACACAAAACAACCTATGAAAGAGTCCCATTCCTTACGCCTCGCCTATTGCCTCCAGGGCAACACTCGTCTTAAACACCAACTTCTTGAAGGGAATAAATAACAAACAACGTTCTCTCTTCCTCAGCATTTTGTGGGACTGCTTGTTACAGAATTCACTTGAAGGATAAATTTACAACTCCTGGAACGTCTCGCTGGCCGATTTCTCTCTCCGCTCCAACGTCAAGTTGACAAGATGGCATCCTCAAGCCAACCAAGGGTATCTAGACTGCTCGGAGAATCATGGGCTAGTTGGTCTCCAGAAGACGCGGACCAGTCGACATGTATCGATAGCGACGATGAATTTTATTCTGGGCTAGATCTACCTTCGTCAAACCCATCAACGGTGCCTGATAATTCTCTATCCATTGACAGCAGCCCGATGCCTCAGTTTGGATTCCTCCAGGACGCATCCATGATATCACTCTCGGGTCCGGAGCTCGTTATGCCATCTATACACCAAGACTATTCTCCTGATGGCTCCTGGGTGGTTTCCCACCCTTCCCCTTTGACATCCAATCCCCCAGCTTCTCGGTATACAGGGGCTGCGAGTTCTATCAATCCGCTTCCCATAGACACTCCTCGGGGTCATGGGAAACAGGAGAAGCAGCGCAATCACACTTTCTCAAGATCGTCGCACGTCACAGACGACTTAGGACGGCCCAAGCTTTCTACCAAATACCTGCTAATAGGCATCTTGCTACCCTTTGCAGTATATTTAGCTAGGGTAACATTCTTATCATGGGCAACAGAGGGTACAAAGTCCGCAACATCTTCAGAGTCAGCGCCATTTACTCTCGAAGGAACTCCACGCCAACTGGAACTCTTAATGGACGCCCGTGCTCGACTTTGGCAAATACTTAGCAACTCGAGCATATCTGCTTCCCAAATTCCCGGCCTTCTCAAGGGATGTGAGTTAGCAGTTGTTGAGCTCTGCAGCTTATGGACGGACGACATGGGATCGAAGCATGAGGTAGAATTCGAATGCGATAATGCCTTGATTGCCGTTCTCCAAGCCAAAGAAACAAGCCGCTCTCTATATTGGCACTCGGGGTCTGCCTTGGATGAAATCGATCGAGAGCTTTCAAGGATAAAGAGGTCATTGATTACCACTACCGTCGATGAATCCAATAGTCTTGTCGACCTCATCATGGAGGCATTGAATATGCGTTTAAATCGACCAGCTGTGAAATCTGGCATTTCAGACGCTCAGTATAGGCAAGCCGAAGCGGCATTTGAGCTTGCGGTCAGCAAACTGCTTACCCAGGCGAATTACATTCTCGAAACCCTTAACTCGTTTCAATCTCGCCTGCAGTCTATAGCTGAAATCATTTCGAAATTCAACGGGGACCAGGACACTTCTGGTTGTTGGTCCCACCATCCCGGCGGCGAAGGGGGTGATTTGTTTGCCACTCTTATTCAAAATATCAAATGCACCCTTGAGGAATCACTCTTTCTCTCATTCGGCCCTAAATTGGGTGGTAGACCGTCAGTAAATATCGGCGGCAGTTTAAAAACTACTATTCAGTCGCAGTTAAGCCGGGCGGATCAACAGCAGCAACTAGTTGTGATAGTTGTGAATTCTTTGGTTTCTCAGTTAAAGCAGCTGCAAAAGGACTGGGATATGGGCTACGAATCTCCTTAGTTGGACTTTGCAAGGGCGTATGCGGCTGTGATCAGTTGTATTATCCTTTCTTGTAGCATCACGCTGGTTTTCGACATAATCGTACCCCATTTCCCGCCTCCTATACTCTCCTCTTATTTCCCCGTATAACGTTGGAAAGCTGCCACCATGCTTACTCCCCAGCAAGATGTGGGTGATAAGCTTTCTTCGGCATAACTCTGTTCCTGACAGGTATTTTCCAAATCCAGTTAGCTTGCGTTTTTCTTGCTTTGCGAGAAGTCTAAACTGGCAGATGAGATACGCACACCGGACCAGACTCTTAGATTTTGAACTTTCCTTTTTCTAATTTAGCATGGAGGATGCATAATAATCACTGCCGGAGATATACAGAAAACGAAAAAGGAAGAGAAAAGCATGAACTAACGTCCAAAATACATGCGAAAACCCGGATTCGCTGATAGTCACCCACTCAGGTACTGACAGGCTGGCGAGTGGTTTGAGTACGGCTGAGCCAATGGAAAGGCCTATTTCCCACTCACTGTGCTTATATGTGCCTGTTAAAGCCATAAGAACAATATTTGACGCTCGTGGAGTCGACTTTGAGCTCCTCACTCCAATCCCCTGATACAGTGACTTCATGATTCAAGAAAGTGAGTGTCTGACTAGCTGTCATGTTTATTCCATCCGCTAATGTACATGTCAATATAGAGGTCCCTCGGTGGTTCCAACCGTTGCTGAATCCGTCGAAACGAAGCATTTTGGAATTCAACAACCTAGAAGTATACAGAGACACTGTTCTGAGCTCCTGAAAATTTCACTGGTGGTATGATCATTTCTAGAAAGGACTGGATTCAAATCCAATGCACAACCTATAAGGAACTCACCATAACTAGTCAGCAAACATACTCGACTGGACTATGGCACTACCTTCCCGCACGAGGAACACTTGATCTGTCAAGGGTGAAACACGATGGACCCGTTTGTAACTCAAACTCCATCCTCACTCATGTACATTCTAGCCCTTTGATTTTTTTTTTTTTTTTTTATTCTTTTTCTACCAACAGAATGCTGTTTGACGAGTCGCAACCAGGCGTTCTGGTGCAATAGCTGAAACGGATGAGTACATCACAGACAGCGCATGATTCCTTCTTTCCTATGATGGTTATTTGTTTGCGCCTTGTGAAGGTTGATCAGCTGTAGTGGGGTGGTGTCGGAGACAAAAGAGAGGGGCATCCGGACTTTTAAATGCCGTCCGTCTTCAATACATAGGCGCAGATCTTGCTCTTCTTGGAGCGGCACACTTCGCAACGAGGCTATATATATATTCCGTTGCCAATGCACACAGTAGCGGTCAGCAGTTAATCAATCATGTTATATCGACAACCATGTCCATAAGAACGTTTTACCCTCAACCTGTCAGTATCTTGTTATTCCATATAGACTCTCGGCATTGCCAGCTGTTTGCCCCTAGTTGTTACCGGTACCTCGGCGCAACTGACACCCGCGGCAGCCAATCACGGGACGCGGCACTCGGCTATGCCCCGCTTAGTAAGGCCTGACCTAGGGGTATCTAAACTAATTGAGCGACAACTGGGCATTTTTCAGCTTCGGAGACAACCGACATATGCACAACAAGTGTATGTAAATAGATAGATCAATCATCGTTACCAGATCTCTTTATTGCACAGAATAATACTCTATGCAGTACAGACATACATATACGCAAAGGTATGCAACCATGCAACTTTTCTTTTCTTTGTTTGGTCTGTTCATCATGCATCATCGCAGGGCAACTACATCGTCTCTCCAGTGCTGGTAGAATTGATGCAACAACAACCAAACTCCAGGAAGAAGCAAGCAAATAGATAGAAAGAAACCTACAAATCCCCAAAGCTAACAGGCTGCTCTAGTTCTTTAACTCCTCAAAAGACAAAGGGTTATTATTCCAACACCACACTCCCCCCCCCCTTTTCCATCGCCATGTCCATCCAAGTACCATCCTCCTACTCCGCCCTCCCAACCCAGCACATCAAGGTCGACCATGTGCCCGCCGACTCCGCGAAGCCCACACCAATCCTCCTCCTAACCCTCAACCGGCCCAATAAGCTCAATGCCTTCACCGGCACCATGGCGGAGGAATTGGTATCCTTCTTCAACACAGTAGATGTCGATGACCGTGTCAAGGTTATCGTAGTGACCGGCGCCGGGCGGGCGTTTTGCGCTGGTGCAGATTTGGAAATTGGATTCCCTAAGAGCACGGCGGGCGGTGGGCAGAGGAGGAATGAGGGCGATGATGGAGAGCATAGGGATGGGTATGTGACTTTTGGCATTTTCTCCTTGCCCATTTTCTCCTCTGTGTCCGCATACATTCTCCCCCCGCCTCGCCCATTACATCCACCAAAAAAAAAAAAAAAAGAAAACCAAAAAGAAAAAGAAAAGAAAAAGAAAAGAAAAAGAAAGCGGATGAGAAAACTAATCTACCTGACCCCCCCCCCCCCCCCCCATCCAGGGGGGGGCGGGGAACCCTCGCCATCCACAAATGCCGGAAAACAACCATCATGGCCCTAAAAGGCCCCGCCGGCGGGATCGGGATAACCATGACCCTGCCCGCAAACATTCGCCTCGCAACCCGGGGCTCAAAAATCGGGTTTTTTTTTCTCCCCCCGGGGCCTAAAAAAGGAAGAAGCCTTTTTCTTTCTTCCTCCCCGCGAATGAACGGAAAAGGCGGGGGGTCCACCTCACCGCAAAGGGGCCAGTACCCCGGGGAAAACCCCC